TTGTGGATGATATGCTTATGTATAGTCAGGTGAGCATGCTAACCATGCTGTGTTTGTTTTGAATTTTTTGGACGAACGTGACAATAGTTTTTTTTCCAAATTATATTTTCTTACTTTTTATCTTTTGCATTTGTCAGCAATAAAATATATATACACATGAATTTCAATTGTTAGCCTTATGACACATGAGCATTCTCAAAGACTAATGTGGATTATGGCTGACAGTGAAATAGAAAAAGTACATGATATACCAAAAAAAGCAGCTCATCTAAGTTAATCCATTAGAGGTTATTACAGAGTTTAGTGGGATTTGCAAATCTCAACAAAAAGCTAAAAAGAGTTGCCAGAAGCTCAGTACTTTTTACATGAGACAATAAACGAGAGTCTAAGCAAAATATGAATTTTTTTTATGAATAAGATCCCTCTCCCCTCTTCATTCTTCTCTCTCATTCCTGCACGTGAAAACAAGGGCGAAAAGAAGTTAAACGTCTAATTACAAAACACATCCTTGATGTTCGATCTAAATTATCAAAAAACCACAGTGCCTTTCCCAAATATTAGATAATTCCTTACTTTTTTTTTTTTACATATATGCAAATACATAAGGTCAAGACTCAATCATGCATTCATGAAGTTTTTTTGTAGTTACTCGGTTTAAATAAATTCTTAACTTGTCTTATCGTAGCTTTTTAACTTAACCTCTTAACTGATTTGCCGAGTATATTTAATTAATTTGCTAAGGTAATTAATTTCTGTCTTGAGTTGTCTAGGGTTCTCGGATAATTTTTCTAGATCTGGAACTATCTTTTCTTACTTAACTTGGTCTATCTCGGTTCAGAAAAATGCTTAAGTTCCAGCTACTCTCACACCAGAAAAACTCGAGCCGGAAAATTCTCAAACCGCCCGGAGAATGGCCCGGACAGGTTCGGGATTGGACCGGAGGCTCGCTAGACTCAATTTATTTTTAATCTTATTTTCTTATCTAACTTTGATATATTTCCTTAGCAAAATTAATTACTTCGTTCAGTTAATTAACTCTTCAAATTCTCTTATTAATTACTTCGTTCGGTTAATTAACTCTTCGAATTCTCTTTCGAAATTAATTATCTAGATTATTTCATTCGTTTCTTAATTTTTCAAATGTGTCTAAAGTCCTTGACCAAAATATCTAAAGTCCAGAAAATTAATTCTAGCATGATCGGTTCATTTCGCATATCTAACAACGCCTCACAAGGGAAAATATATATAATCCAACTCACACTATCCAGCCTTTTATATCATCATGTTTTAATAAGCGTGTTAAAATACTGAGACCTCATGTCAAATTTTTCATCTACATGTTACATGCATTGCAGGCCAGACAAATTTAAAAAGAAGCACCAATTTATATGGACATGATGAATATAGTTGTCATTGTGACTTTCTCCTCTAAGTAAATGCATCAGACCAATTTAGACTGTACAGAAAGTTTTCAGTTCTAACCTGCACCGAAATTTGAAATGCCTTTGTAGCATTTTACACTTTTGCGAAAGATGTACTATAATTGAAACAACATGCAACAAACTAATCTATGTATATTCTATCTGCTACTAAATTATACCTAAAACGTGCAACTCCAAAAGATTGAGTACTCTCATTTCAACTTCTTTTTCCCTAAATTCCTTATATCTTTTTAAACATCATTAAGGCTATTTAACTGAAACTTATCATACATTTGCAGCCTAACCTTCAACAATAACACGGTTTAATAATAACAGCAAATCAAGGCCATGTAACTTAACTTTAATATTACCTTTCACTCCTTCAAATAGGAAGGTACAGCTTTCCATCCCGTGAAGATGGATCTGCACGACGGCAGCACCGTGATGCACTGCTGGGTCCCCGAGCTAAACCGACTCCAAGGCCGACTTCAGACTCAAGAAGCACGATATGCACAACTTGAGCAGGAGGTCGCTCAGGTTCGCCGCTCAGGTTCGCCGGATCATGGAATCATCCATGAGAGCTCAAACAGCCAGACTGAGGAATCGGCAAACCAAATCGGCCAACCCCATGCTTCACTACAATTTGTTGTCGGGCATCCTTTTGAGAACCCACCTGCTGTTCAGGGGCTGAACCTAAACCAGTGGAGACAATCATCCCGACCAATAAATAGCCTTGAGACGATCTCTAGAGGCCAGAACATTGTCATTTGCGGCAATTTGTTCCATCTCTTGATAATGGGCTGGCAAGAGACCGGCCGGCGGGAGGATTATTAACTCATTCTGGAGGCCAGGACATGAAGCTCGATTTGACCCTGGAGATTGTTTGGAAGGGCATTAACCTGTGTCTGAAGGTTCAGAAATTGACCTTCCAAATGAGTCTGACTTTGGTTAACAAGGCCGGTAAGATCTGCGTGATTCTGGATTTGCTCATTTTGCACGTCCTGGAACATTTCCAACACCAGGGTATGAACAGGTGCCACGGAGTTACTCCTCCTTGAGAGTACGGTGTGGTATCTGATTTCAGCTGCTGCAGCATCGGTACCATTAAACCCAGGAACGTGTAGACTTGAACGCTCTAATTCACGCCTCCGATGAGCCTCTATGTTGATTTGATCGTCATTTGGTATGGCATTATTGGGAATTTCTCCGACCGCGGTTCCCGCCACTACCATACCCGGGGCAATGACGTAATCTCCTAGTGCCGGCAGAATTGGGTTATTAGCCGCCATGAGAGAGAGGGGGTTGGGCTTGGTGATGAAGTGAGAGATCTAGGGTTTTGGAGTATGAAGTGTGTATTTATAGAGGGGTTTTGTTGATGTTGGGCTTTAAAACCTTGCTATGTAATCCGGCTTAGTAAAAACATAGGATTAAATAGAAAAGTCCGATAACATGGGCCGTAGCCCCGAGCCTAATACAATGAGACACCTGCCCCTCTCGAGCAGCCTAGATAAATAACCAAATCAATACATAGCTAGAAAATACCCGAAATTAAAGGCAGGCTATACATCGCCTAAAGTATTTTATTTGAACACTTGAGTGCATTTTTCAAACAAAATACAATAAAGTCATATATATAAACTAAGATAAATGGTTATGATTGTATATTATAATTATGTATAAAAAAATATTTTTCTTGTTAAAGAAAGTTGATAGATTTTAATGTTGATATTATTTCCATGATTACAAAGATTATTCAATTAATGAATGTGAAAATAAAATCCTACAATAAACAAATTATTCTTTCCAAAAATATAGAAAAATCTAAAAAACAAATAAAAAAGTAAAAATACTGCCACAAAATTTTCTTTTTTAGTAATTAAAACTTTTTGGACGAAATTGCACATAATGTTTATAATAAATGTTCAAACGTTTTTTATATATACACTAAGATAATGTTAAATAGTCATGATTATAATTATATATTGTTAAATAGTTTTTTTGTAATCCAAATCGAATAATCTTGCAAAAACTTCTATAATTTTAATAAAATATGTTTTCTATACTTTTAAAGAAAGATGATAGATTTTAATGTTGGTATTATTTTTATAATTACAAATATTTTTCTATTAATGAATGTGAAAATTAAATCAAACAATAAAGAAATAATTAGATATTGTTTAAAAATTATAGAAAAATCTCACAAGAAAAAAAATAAAAATAAAAAGGCCAAAAATACTATCACGGATTTTCCTTTTCAAGTATTTACAACTTTTTGGTAGAAATTACACATAATGTTTATAATCTATATATATATATATATAGAACTAGTTGGGTTGCACAGCCGACTCAAATTTAGTCGATATTTAAGTTAAAATTTGATTATCGACTAAATTACATTGTCTATTTGATTAGTATAGTCTCTCTACTGACATTTATCAAGTTAAAATAGGATTATCACCAGCTTTGATTCACGTCCGATGAAAGACCGGTCGGCGACTAAATGACATCGTCTATTTGATTAGTATAGTCTCTCTACTGACATTTTATTAGCGTAGTCTATTTGTCATCTTCACCTATTCGCTTAAATGCCCCATGAAAAGGAAAAAGCTTATAGCATGTAATGCATACATGAAAAAGTATAGACAAGAGAGTCGTAATGTCAACATACCCCTAATATGAACTAACCCAAAGAAGAATTGTTACCAGTACAATTTCCCAGCCGACAAATTAACATTCTTTTTCACTGACAACAATCCTACTGAGATTGAAAGCATACAACACGCTGAGTCTTCCGCCATTATCAAATGAGCTTTTGTTGATATCAAATAACTCCAGTTGTCCAAGTTAAGAAATAAAAAGTTCAAACCATCCTTTGAGTCTCGCTGGACCCAGCTTAGCCAATGTTCGTCCAACTTCTTTGCTAACCTATCAAACCAGAGGTATTAATAAGACAAACCTCATGGACAAGCGCACAATAATGTCAACATCAGTGGTCAAATGGTATGGTGCATGTTTCACATATTTTTCATAACTAAATAAACTAAAAAGAGATTGAATATAACACAGAAAATAAATTTTAAAAAAAATACAACTGTATTTAATGGGAATAATGAGATAGAACCCCTTAATTAGGACGCCAAAAACCAATAAATTAGACAAAATGAACTTCTCGTCCATAACAAAGCCTGCTTGAAGAAGAAGAAGAAGAAAAATCCGATCAATAAACTGGAAAAAAACCGATGCACGTGAGGTGTTCGAGAGAAGGAAGGTTAGGGCCAAAAGATTTTCTCCTCTTTTCGACACGCTGGAGTCGATTTTCTTCCCCTTAACTCTAGCATGCTGATGAATACACTGTTGGATATTTTGTTGACAGGACATTTTTTTTACCTAAACGTTATGATCCAACACCCTCCATCTAAGAAGTCACACATCCAATAATAAAGTAAAAAAGAATAACAAAAAACAACAATAAAGCTCTTAACTTGAGCATTCAATACACATAAACACAGAAAAAAGAGCGAAAAAATCAACAAAGTTTGACAGGATTTCTAATCAAGGCCATGATCTTATCAGGTTCAACTTCCTGCATAATTTTATTCAGCATATCCAAATTAATTTCGGCTGGTTCATAGAATGAATCTGAATCAATCAAAGAATGTACGAAACTATGGAGTCAATCTTCTTCGACTCCACGTTGCTACATGTCTTGATTTCTTCTCTGACGCCTGCCAAGTGTCCGCCTCCAGCAGGGAAATCCCCATCCACTGGTAAACCGTGAGCTGTAACATCGACAACCAGGAATATGGCTGAACTTAATGCACGCTAAGACGGAATGTCTTAACCGACGTGTTTACTGCTTTTCAATTAGTATTTGCAACACAATTCGATAATAACTTTCTATATGCAGAAAACGGAGAATATTTCACATGTCTTTTCGCTTTCTTTAAATCCTCTATGTTCAATGGCCTAATAAGGCTTCAGAAGCCCGCCTGTAAAGAGGCCAGACCTCATGAGAGACAAGAGAATCAGTTCCAGAAGAGATTCATTGATATCCTCCAGGGCGCCTATGTCAGTAAATGTCACACCGATTTCCTTAGTTGGGATGATTTCTGGACCGATTCTCTTTTGAAACTCGTTATCTGAATCACCTGATTGCACCAATCAACAACAAAAAAAAAAAAAGATAAGTGAGGTGTGAATTGAGGGAAAAAGAAGATAATAAAAGGAGATGAAGTTATGAATGGAGCAATGCTATTTGCATCGCATACTAAAGCTAATAACATGACCAACAAAAATTTACCAATGATAAAGAAAAAACTTATAGAGAAACTCGAAATGTAAGAAAGCTGACTAATAAGACTTATATGAGTTTTTGGGGCTCGTCTATCTTGCTTTCAGATATATCGGTTTTATCAGGCCTTTCCAAATCTTCTACCTATCATGGATGAATCACACAATCCCATAAAATTTTTTTAACCCATTATTCTTAACTCTGTACATTTTTAACAACAATTTTGAGATAACATGTCTTTGGCATTTCACCAAGTACTTCAAGCTTTAGAGTGTCTTCTTGAGCATATTTACTTACCTTTCTAGAATATACTCAAGCCATGGGACATGGTAAAGAAAAAAAAAATTAAAAGAATATTTTTAAAAATGCACCCGATTTAATATTTTCAAGTAAACATTTACTGCTTACAAGCAGAATGATTCCCTAATGGCTGAATGTAGTAAGCAATTATTTGAGCTCTACCTAAGTTCACCAGGTCACAGGACCTAACTGAGACCCAACAATACTATTTCTTGCATTAAATTATAAAAAATCCAAGAAAAAAAAATGAAAAAAGCAGAATAAAATGAAGAGAGCGGGACAGTTGGTTCAGCCTTGCTGCAAAATGTGCCAGGAAAACATTAGCATAAGGCAAACAACTAGAAATATACATATCCAGGTTAAGGTTGATAATTTCACATAATAACTCACAGTTACATAATATAAGTAAATTGTAAAATCAAAGATAATCACATGCTGACTGGTGAGGAATGATTTCATCAAAATCGCAGTTGAAGTTACTTTGACAATCAACAGGCCGGACCAGTACTATCTAGTAAGCCCTGATGCAAAAGTTTAGCAAATTATTATCTGAAGGATGATGAAAAAAGAAAATCATTATTTAAAAAAAATGGTTTATGGTAAGGGGAAGTTAACATACTGCAAGAATGGAGGCAACATGAGGAGAGGCAAAAATATTACCACATATTGCAGCCGTCAGCATTCCTTCTCTAACAAATCCAGCATGAGCCGGCTGATGGCCGCTTTACCCTCATGCATGTTTGCAAACCATGATCAGGTTCAGTAGAGTCTTAATTTGGTTACTCACACAATATTTGCATGTTCAGTAAACCATTTGTTCAGTAAGCTCTCCAATTTTATGTACACAATTACAACATTCATATGGAGACAGAGAAGAGCGCATATTTATGCACGCTCACCATGTTCGATGACGATCTGTAAAAAAATCAAAGCACAATTATTTGTGTTGCTTGAAGTTCCTAAGTGCATAATCTTTTGCAATTTACACCTACTTTATTAAATCTAGTTGTGCATGGTCTTTTCTTGCAATAGCATAGTAAAGTTGAATATATGGTTGGGATCTGCAAGATAGTTCAAGAGATTTTAACTCTAAGGGTGCATCAAGCGAGACTATAACAATTCTCACGGTCACACTTATGAAAATGAACTTTCATCTAATTTCATAAGTACAAAGAACATAAACATATAATGGTTATTCGTCAACTATTGATCTGATTTAAATAATAAAAACATGATACCAAACAAAACCTTCGTCTAGAAATAAATATATTGATTAACATAAGATTGTTAAGCATCCCAGATATACCTTTTAGAAAAGTATTTGTATTCTTTTCGAGTGAGTTAGAGCTGCAAGAAAAAATATAACATATAAATAGGACATATTTCATCTGAGGGAAAAGAACATTAATACGGATACCTTGACGTTTGTAAAGAGCTAGAGATCTGGTGAACAAAACTATTCTCCCTGCGAATTGGAATCTCGTTTGCTAGAAACAAGAGAATTATGGTTACACACAGAAGTTAACAACACAAAGATATACACCCGGAGTAAAAATCACATTTGGAACTTCGTAGTTATAATAATATAAACATAAATGAGAATAAATTTAATAATAAGAGTACAGGACTGACCATTTCACCCACCAGAACCATCCAACCAAAACCACACACTAAAAGATAAGACAGCCGTGAAATGGAAGCCCAACGAAAAAAAATAAAGAAAAGAAAGAGAACAAAAAAGCCATAATCTTTAAGACCATATAGTAATAATAATAGAAAGGTTAATCCTTCTAGTTCGAGAGATTCGGATTTTTCGAGCTAGGTGGTTTGATCGATAGAGGTTCAAAGTCGATTACTTTGCATTTGTGGCGTTTGATCGATAGAGGTCCAAAGTTGATTTACTTTGGCATTGTGGCTTTTCGTTTGAAAATATGTTGTTTGATTCTTCTTCGCAATGTGGCGTTTGATCAATAGAGGTCCAAAGTTGATTACTTTTGTGCTGTGGCGTTTGGTTGAAAATCAGGTTGTTTGATTTCTTTGTCGAGGAGGCTAATTCCGTACCGAGTTCCTTCAAAGTTATCGATGAAGATGAATTTGTGAGTATGTGTTGTTTTGAATGTAGGGTTTGAATGAAGGGTTTGCTTCTCTGTTTGAGGTATGGAAGTAACTTTTTTCCATGTTCGCTTACAGAAGAGTTTTTTGTATTGAAAATGTTGGCCTGAGTTATTTCTGGAGAGTATAGCTATTATGCATTTATAATCTCTCTTATCTATATACGAAGGAGTTACACTCTTTGTGGTCTTGACAAGTGTCCAATTTAGGTACTCTTAATGGCTGACAAGTGTCCCATTAGCAAATTGGCAATTTTTTTTTTCAAAGCCAGCAATCGAAACGACATCGTTTCATGGTATATTGTGTTTCCTGTATTATTTTGTTGTCCTTCCATAACCTTTTCTTCTTTCCCAGAAATCACTCGGAGCAGGAGCAGGAGCAGGAGCAGGAGCAGGAGCAGAAGCAGTTGAGATTTTGTTTACCAAATTGCGATTTTCTGTAAACTCTGCCTCTCTCCACGTCTTCTGTGACGTGATTTCCGTGAATTGTGTTGGCAGAGTAACTTAATTGTTAAGAATTCCGCTACATTTACTTTTCATCTATATTTCCACTCTCCTCAAACCTGCGTCTCTCTATTTTTTTTTTCTCCTTCATCCCGACCACTTCTGCTGTTACTTCATCGCAAACAGATCCTACGCGTCGCCGGCCTGTGTCCGTTAGGGTGAGTCGCCGTGTAGTACTTCGACGGCACAAATAGGGCCGGGACTGAATTTAAACAAATTAGGGAAAATTGAGAGCTTGTTGGTATGCACGTGCATCGGCTCGCCAACTCAGAGCGGTGACCCCGTCCAAAAGAGGTGGCTGCGGACTCGTGAGCGCTTGTCGCCTCCTCTTGCTGATTCCCTACTCCGCCGTCGCCTTCTGAGTATGTTTACTTAATTACCCGGGGAATTTCGATATCTTGTTTTGCTAGAAACAAGACTACAAGAAAAAGAAGTCCCTAAATCGCAAGCTTTTTTCTGAACTTCTCAATTGATTTCAGTGGATTGCTTCATTTTCAGTTTTCCCTTTCCCAAACAAACTCTCCCTTTAGATCATTATTACTTCTTTTCCAGCTTTTACTAGATTTTTGGAGCGGTTTGCATAACAATATTTAGGTATTTTTTTCCTTAAAAAAAAGAAAAAAAAAATTGCCACCACTGCTGCTTGAATATCATCACTCTTCAGACTTCGTCTTTATCTCTGGCTTGCTTTTAGTTTTCGTTACATAGTTTCGATTTCTTTCTTCTGTAAGCCCCATCAAAATTTCTGGGTTATTGAGTTTTTCTCAGTGAAAAACAAAAAAATTGCAATAAAAAACCAGTCTTTGCGATCTGGGAGTTTATCAGGGTTGGGTTTCAACAAACTCTAAACCTCCCCTTTTCTTAGTCCGGGCTCTGTTTAAAGTATAGGGTTTTTATTTCCTCAAAATTTTGAAAATGGCCAACACTTCAATTGGACTTGATAAGTGGAGGGATTATTTCAGAGGTGCAAATTCGGACATATTTAATATAATCGAGCATGCATAATGGTAGCTGCTTCAGTTAGCCCTTATGAATTCAATGTGAAAAGGGATCGAATAGCTGAGATGCTCTTCACTTGTAAAATGACCAAGTGTTTTGGCTGTGATCGAGTTGAGTTGACTGTGCCTAAAAGTGATTGTGCAGAAAAGAATATTGTTGATGATGATGATGATAAGTGCAAAAGTGGTATTGTTGAGGTAGGAGGACGAAGTAAAGATACACAAGAGAGAAAACTGAATAGGAGAAGAGATAGTAATGATGATGATGATCACGAAGAGATTGTGGAGAGGAATTTGAATAATCACCGTGTTAGAGATTCTAGCACTTTATTAGAAATATTGCATTTATTAGAAAAATTAAAGAAGCATTTATGTTTACTGTTCTTTTTCAATTTAGAAGTAAATATTTTTATTTGTATGATTCTTATGGCTTGAATCTAATTTATCTTTTATGCAAAGTGGATCCATGGAGGAATCCTGCAGTGGAGGAGCACGTAATAATGAGAATTCACCGGATTGGCCAGAGGACTGTCCATGTAAGAAGGTTCATTGTCAAGGTGATTTTTATCTTCATACATAAGCTTTTCTCTTTCAAAAAACAAATTTTTTATGTTCAATAACTCCAGTCACCTCACGACCAATTGCTCAGGTCGGAGTTGATAGAATTATAAGTTTGGCTGGCCTTTGGCCTGGAGATTACGGTTATGGCTCCCCGCCATATGCTCCAACGTTTCGTCCAATGCGCCGACTAACGAGCACTGGCGAGCTGCTGAGGTTCGAGGTCAACAACATGCAGACGTGGATGAGCCTCCCGAACCAACAAGGACACATGCACCGACGGGTTCGGACGACTGCCCATCAATGGAGGACGTGTGTGACTGGCCGCTGAGGGGGAGGTGACGAGCAATGTGCTGGACCCAGAAAAAGGTGTGAAACTTTTCAGATCCACTGTTTGATTCTTCAAACCTATTTCGATTTTGTTTTGCGCGGCAAGCTTTTCTGTGATAGCATTATCAAACCTTTTTTATTCCAGTGTGATACTCGATGAAAGCAATTCAGTTGGAGTTCTTGGGAGGTCTGGTAGAGGCCTAACTGAACATATGAAAGTTTCGGTAAGTAATCCTTATCTGCGTACTATTTGTATATATTTGCCTTTTTTTAATACTTTTGTTTGTTGCAGATCGACAAGGTGGATATTGTTACTGCTTCATTGGGACATACAGTAGCCACTGAAGGAGGATTTTGCATTGGGAGTAATCGAGTGATCGATAACTGAGTATGCTTGATTCCATGAAATCTATTTGGAATGATATGAATGCAGATGATCCGACTTCAAAAATATCAAATCTATACCTCTTTGTTTCAAAGGGAGAAAGAGATATATTTATCTAATGCAAGAATTTGTGAGGTTAAATACTTGCATCCCAGTGAGTGTTTATGTACTCATTTTTCCCAATGAATAAAATCTCTTCTGTTCTTGTTTTGTTTATTATTTATTATGTGAATGTGTTCTGTTTCTTGTTTTTTGGTGTGTGCTCTGTAGATGAAAGGACAAAGCATGAGCCATAATTTGTGGATTTCGAATGAACGGTCGAATTTATTTTACGAATGCAGCAATGCCAGCGATAAATTTATACGTGATCATTTTTTTTTTTCAATTTGACAAATCAATTTTCTGTTGGTTTTAATTGAATATGATGTCGGGTGCTTGTTGTGATATAGGTGTTCAATTGGTTTTTACAGTAAGAGCGATAAGAAGCGGAAGCACGCTCCTCCATCCAACTTTTCGGATGGTTCAGGCTTGAGTGCCACATTCAGTTGCTACAAATTGAGCTTTGGCATCAAACTGGCTACAATGCAAACTGGTGGGAAAAACAATTGGCAGGTACCTTTTTTTTATTTTACTTTTTTTTCGCATTGCATACCTGTAATATAAGTCTTGAAGTTTGTGCGCTATGAAATATTAAACTCTTAATGGAAATGTTGTTAAAAGTTCCAGAGAGAACTTTCTTATAATAGGTAAGGGGATGATGGTTGTCAAAGATGTCAACAAACAATTATGCTAAATAATGTAGAAAATTACCAAAGGTCAGTGTTACGTGCACCATACATGATTGATATGCTTTTCTTGTCTCGGCACCTTAATACTAAAACTTGAAGATATTTTTGTTTTGTATTTTTGGACCGTGTATTAGTTTATTGATAAACATGTAGTAACTGATTGTAATATACTAACTGGTTTTTAGATTTGACATCATATTTAATTTCAGTTTTTTTCCCTTTGCATTCCATTGTTAACAGTATCCATAGACTGTTCAAAATTTGGATGCTCAAATGAATTATAGTTACTTTGATGTGAGTTTTGTTTAGGTTAGTTGCTTCAGTATGGAGATATTTTGTTGAGGTACTTTGATTTTTTCTGTCGGGACAAATGTATCTCTTACAGAAGTTAACTAGACTTTGGAAGACCTTTTTTTATCCTTGGTTAGTATTTATGTAGTTATAAAAATTTATGAGGTTTTTGTTTTTGGGCGCAGGAGTCAGAAGGGATGAAATGAAGGGAACTGCCTCAAGCGCGTTAGGGTTCTCAAACAAGAGATAGTTGAGTGTGTAATTCTAACAATGTCAACTTCAAAGACATAATATATGTAAACAGCTACAACAACTATCCAAATATGAGCTGCAACAACTGTCACAAAAAGTGTGTAATAATTAGGTATTTATGGTCAAAGCATTTTTTTGTTAACAAGCAGTGTACAAATTGGCAACGGATTCGAATGCACATTACAAGTGATGACAAATTTTCAAAATATTTTTAGACTGAATTTGAGTCCGCCGTGCGTGCACGGCGTAAGACAACTAGTATAGTAGATAAGCTATTGGAATATTTATATTATAGTTTTTTTTTTTTTTTTGATAGAAAACTCATATTATAACAAAAACCAAAACAATGTTCACGGCATGCTGGAATTTGAGAGCACCACATACCCGTGGGCTAAAATATAAAAACTAAAATATCCATTACAACCAAGAACCACAACCACACTAGGGGATAAAGTAGTTACACTCAACCGAACCTTTATTCTCTCTATAAAAAACAACCCGAAACAGAACAAAATAAAATTAGCTCCTACTAACAAGCAAGTAACTTTCCAAATTCTGCATGGCTGATAATAGCTTGATCCGGTCGTCGAACTCCTTCAAACACCCACAGGTTATGCGACTTCCAAAGCCACCACAATATGTATGTAAATAGTTGTATCCTGGCTTCCGAAGTCTCGCCCTTATCCAACTGACAAATGTTCCACCACCAGTCCCTAAATGCTTCCTTGTCCTGCGGCGCTTCCCACCAAATAGGAGATAATTTCCACACCATTTGAGCAAAGGAGCACTAAAAAAATAAGTGTTCAATGGATTCCTCAGACTCTCCACACATTTTGCAAATGGTATCAACCTATACACCTCTAGTTCTGAGATTCAAAGTGACTGGAAGTGTTCCATTACAGTACCTCCATATAAAATGCTTCACCTTCTCTAAAATCCTCAGCTGTCAGCTTCTTTTCTTTACCTTTGCTTCAGTGATACAACTTGAACTGCCTTGTGCTCTATTCAGTTTCAACACCTTTTCAGTGATCAAGTGGGCATAAGTAGAGTTAACAGTGAACATACCTTTCTTCTGCACAATCCATTCCCAAGTGTCTTCATGTGATGGATCAAGTGTATTAATGCTGAGGATTGAGTTGCACAGGTCAGAAGGAAAGGTTGCCCTTAGCTTTGTTTCATCCCACCTGCATCCATCATCTGTCATCAAATCCTTAACCCACTGAATTCTCCTATCCATTCCTACCAGTAGATCCACTTGCCTGCCTATCTGATTTGGGATCCAATGCTGATCCCACACTCTAATGCTCTGGCCATTCCTCACCTTCTGTTTCATCCAATTGCCACAGACTTCCAAAACAGATAGCCAACTATGCCAAAGCCAGTAAGCATTTTGCATCCTCTGGGCTTCAAAGAGGTTAGAATTTGGAAAATATTTGGACTTCAACACCTTACCAACTAATCTATCAGGTTTTGTCACTAACTCCACAACTGCTTTGCAATGAGAGCAACATTGAATAACTGGACATCCTGAAAACCCAGCCCACCATGAGCCTTATCCACTGTCAATCTTTTACAATCCACCCAGAATTGCCCACATAAGCTAGAGATATATCTGCATATCCCTACTAGTAACACAAAACAAGACATGGCAAAAACTGGTAAAGCATTCAGCACAGCTTTTATTAGAACCTCTTAACCTGCAGATAAAAGCCATTTGTTCTTCCAGCTGAAAATTCTATTCCTCACCACATTAACTATGTACTCAAAAGCATCTTTTTTTAGATTTTCCAATCCCAAGAGACAGCCCTAAGTACCTTGTGGAAGAGTGCTTAGTGATACATGTCAGAATATTGCACACTCTGTCCTGGACTGTCATTGGAGAATTTTTACTAAAGAAGACAGTGGATTTGCTCATGTTAACTTGTTGTCCAATAAAATCCTGAAAAGCATTCAAAATTTCCACAATAATAGCATTCTGGTCCTCATCAGCTTTACAAAAAAGCAATGTGTCATCTGCAAACATAAGATGAGTAAGTGTGGGACTTCCTCTTGCAATTCTTACCCCTCTGAGTCTCCCTTTATCAGCTTCATTCTTGATTTTGGCAGATAGCAGTTCAGATATAAGAATAAGTAGGGGGATAAGGGATCCCCCTGCTTAATGCCTCTGGTAGCTGACACATAACCACTACATTTGCCATTTATATTAAGGGTCAGTTTGGTTGGGCTGATAGGGTGTGATATCACACTGTTTGTTACTGTATCAATACTAATATTATGTTTGGTTGAACTAGTTTGGGCCCTGAAAAATGAACATGGCCCGGTCAGTTATCATTTAATTTGTTTATATGCTATCCTGCAATCATGTTGGGATACCTTATACGCCAAATTATTAAAAATCACAAAATATCCCAAAAAATTTTTTATCTTTTTTTTTCTCTCTCATCCGTCCCTCCATCTTCCTCCTTCCTCTTTCCTCTTCTGTTTCTTTTTCTTTCTATTTTCTTTTTTTTTCTCCTTTAAAAAAAAAAATCATGAAGCAGCACAAGATGCTTTAGTTCGAATTTGATGGATTTTCAGTTCCGTCAAGCAAGTCTCCGGCGGAGTAGAAGAGAGCCTCGGTGTCCTGAAGCCAGATGCGGCGGGCCTCGTCGCTGGAAAGTGGCGCCGAAAAGTGGCGCCTCGAACTACCACTTTCACCTTCCCGAACTCATTTTCTCAATTGTTGGAATAATTTTGGAAATTTAATTTGAAATGGAGGGTAAAAGAGCAATTTTAACCTGAATCCAAATAGAAACCAAACAAGTTAATAGTATAACTAAGTAGATGGATAGCCTTTGAAACAATCACAAAGATTATATCATGCTCAATCAATTATTTCAACCAAACTGACCCTAAAAGAAAAAGGAAGGAAGCTGAATGCATGCCATGATCCATTTGACAAACAATCTATGAAATCCCATCCTAAGCATAGTTAACTGAATAGCCTTCCATTCCCCACAATCATAGGCTTTCATAATGTCAAGCTTTAAAGCCATGAAGCAGTTCTTACCAGAGCTTTGCTTATTAAGAAAATGAAACACCTCCTGACCTAAAACCACATTATCTAACAATTGCCTACCAGGAAGAAAGGCATTCTGATTCTCTAAAATGCAAACATAAAGGCACTCCCTCAACCTCATGGATAGAATCTGTGATATAACTTTGTAAAACACAGCACATAAAGTGATAGGCCTAAACTGAGTAATAGATACAGGATTAGGACACTTTGGAATTAAAGTGACAAGGGAATGCTTCCAATACCTCAACATTTGGCCTGATTCAAAGAAGCTCTAGACTGCAGTGCATAAATCCTGTTTGATTATAGGCCAAAAGTACTGATAAAAAATCCCTGTCATCCCATCCTCCCCTGGAGCTTTTTCAGGATGGATACTGAACACTGCTAGCTTAATATCATCTTCCTCCACTGGTGCAATTAGTACTGTGTTCATGTCATCAGATATGGCCTTTGAAATCAAGGGTAACAGCTTCTACCCATTAGTTGATCCTCTGGATGTAAACAGTTTGCTATAATACTCAGTGATAATTGCCTCAATCCCATCTTGCTCTTCTGTCATAATTCCTCCAGCATTCACCAGTTTGGCAATAGTGTTCATCTTTCTCCTCTGTGCAGTATAGGCATGAAAGAACATAGAGTTCTTATCACCTTCTTTTAGCCACAAAGCCCTAGCCTTTTGTTGCCAGAACATCTTCTCCTCCCCATTTGCTTCATCCAACTCTTGTTTGATTCTATCCCATGTGCAATGTTACATCTCCTCCTCAAGCTGCAATGTTAATCTTCCAATCTTCTGCACATTATCAGAATGGAAATATCTGCTCCAGTTTAGTAAGACTGTTCTGGCTTTTTTCACTTTCTCCTTCAATCTGAACATGGTTGTCCCTTCCACTTGACCTTTCCAAGCTCCTTTGACTATACACTTGTGTTGAAGGAAATTTGATTGACCACTCCAGAGATATAAACACTCTATCCAGCCTCTCTTCCACAAATCCCTCTGAGACCCCCCCTGAGACCCCTAGGTTCCACAATAAACTGCTTAATTACAAAACCCAATCTGTTACAAACATTAAAAGAATTTTTTTTTTTTTATTTTTTAACTTCAGACAGAAAAGTAAAATGAGGGTGATGGAGCTTTAATGCTTCCTTGAGCTGGGGAACCATAGAGAGCCCACCCAGACCTCTACAGTTCCACACCAGAGCCCTCATTGATCACCTGAGGGTTATGGTGGGCCCTCAACACCTTATCAGTACAAATCTTAGCTTTTTTCTCCTTCATGTCTATCACATCATCTTGAGCGGTTTCATGTGTACCCTCAGCAGCAATCTGCTCTCTGGTTCTCTTCACTGTGGTTCCAGTGCTATTGCCTAGTTTATCTATTTTGAAACTCTGCAGCCTACCAATCTGTTGTCCAGATCTCTTCCAAGTTTTCCTTGGAACCCCTGAGGAAGACTTGTGTTGTAGCACAAATTGTTATTTTTACCGAGTATCGAATCAAATGATTCGTTCCCCGGGTCGATCTCTCGAGGAAGGCTGTTCGGATTTAGTTTTGGTATTGATTGCACAGAAAAAGAAAATAAATCCTACACACTCTAATCAGATAGGGGAGGAATATATTATCAACTAAGAAATTAACAGCAAACAAAAACGAACCTAAAGTACGAACTAGAAAGCGATAAAGAAGCTAGGGAATCGGAGATAATTTATTCAAGTTCTAAGGAAAATCGGGCAATCAATTGTTCGGTTCGGGATTGACACTCTCGCTTAGACATCTAGCGGTTCGCTCCCAATAACTCTTCGTAATAAGGGATTGAACATAGACGAGCTAGCTCAAGCATACAACACATGTCAATTATCCCAGTCTCAATAGCTTTTCGTAACAAGAGACGGGTCATCGGCAAGTGTGTATTTCAATCCAAAACCTATAGACTATTCAGTTACGAAATCATCTATCTCATGCGAGCCTAGGTCTACGACTTCTCCCCTTTCGGTTCTAAAAGTCGCTAATTCAATTAGAAGGTGTTTAATCAACTAATCATATAGAATCAACAACCCTAACTCGACAAATTAACATTCAATTGATACCAATTGCAAGATCGAAGTGTCACCCTTCGATTATATCAAGTTATCAAGCAAGAATTAATTAACCCTGATTAAAACAACTCGCACAAGCATGAACAATCTTGAGCCCGACAATAACGAAATTAATCAAGAATAATCATCCCTTATCCCTAGCAGAAGGAATTAGCTACGTATAACGAATTCAACAAACATAACCATTACTCTCAAATTAACCATTATTCATGAATTAATAAAGAGAGAAAAACTTACAATAAATCCAAATCTCAGTTGTTGAATCCAAAATACAAAGCTTAATCCTTGATAATAATAAAAAAGAAGAAGAAAAATGGAGAAGAAGGATGAAGAGAAGGGAAAAAATGACGAAGAAGAAGAAAAGGAGGAGAAAGGGATATTTCGTGTTTTTCCCGACCCTAGGTTTTCACCCAGGAGGGAGAGATAATCTTATGTCGAAATCCCGATCGAGTTTATATAGGAAAAGACGAGTCACGGCGTGGAGCGGCGCGAGGGAAACAGGTGCCGCGGCGTGTGGAAGGCTCGCGGCGCGCGGGATGCTGGGAGCCGCAGTCGGGGTCGTGGTAAGGGCGCGGCGTGGTGAAGGGGCGCTCCACGGCGCGGTAGGGCTTCGCGGCGCGGTGAAAGGGCGCTCCGCGGCGCGGCAGTGCTTCGCGGCGCGGTGGATGGGCGCTTCGCGCCGCGGCGAGCGCGCGGGACTTGGACAGCTCGCACTACTTCACATTTTGGAGTCGTTCGGGCTCGTCTGGTATCGGAATTGAGTTCCGTTTTTTCCTGTGTGTTCCCAACGAACTCCTCTATCTAATTACACTTGCCCAACTGACTTTTGCCCAAAATTCGATCTTCCCGAAGCTTTCGACCTACACACCATAAACGAAGAAAAACCGAAAAAACATACGGAAAACACGTAGAAAACCAAAATGGAGATAAACACACAATAAACTATAAGAACGAATAAAAACCAACGAAAAGACCTAAAATGGGGGAAAAAGAAAGATAAAATAATAAGGAAAAACGTAACAAAAATGGGACAAACAACTCCCCCACACTTAAACCTTTGTTCGTCCCGAACAAAAACAAAAGAAAAGAAAACAAGACACGAGCATGGATATCGATTTCATACAAGAAGAGCCTCAGAAATATTTAACTCAACCGGGTTGAATTCCAACGATTGTACGACCATATGCCTCAAATATCAACTTGGCCTCAAAGTGACAAACTCTCAGATACAGAAACATTAGTGTATGCCTCACTCATTCTTTTACATGAATATATGATAGGTTCTCTCAGATTGATCAATATTCAAGTTTCAACATATGCTTGCCAATCGTTTAAATTACTCAGAAACAATCAAAGCTCAAAACTTGCGAATCAAGAGGACTTCACGGGTTGTAATGTAGGCTATTTGGTTCAAGGTAAGGATATATAAAGGAAAAGAAGCTCAAATAAACAATCACAATTCTCGAGCAAATAGATTACTCGAGTTCTCCGCCACTCATCCAGAATAATCATGACAACACACTTACTACCCAACCAACATTCCTCAAACAACACATAGATGCTCAGAGCAAGTTTCAACATCGGCACTTAACCTTATTTTTTCTTTTTCTCTTTGTTTTTTATTTTTATTTGGAGAGTAACTTTTTCCCAACAAGATTGAATCAAAAGGACAACATTCTGTAGGTGTGAACATTGGAGGTCATCCAAGTTTCCTACAGTAGTTTCCCAATGCTCATTACCTGTCAAAATGAATCGACTAGTAAGAGGAGCAGAATCCATTCGATTCGTCTTGTGAACTCTCAAAGTTGTTTTTTTTTTTTTTTGAATGGTCAAGCAAACAAAATGCAACTCAATGTCCACCATATTCAGAAATGCCACCAATCACCTAATCATCACACAAATCAGTCAACAGTTTGACAAGAAAAGGTTTTAAGCTCAAACGGGCTACTAGTGGAATAATAAATAGGGCCAATGAACAAGGCAGAAGTGAGCTATTCAAACAAAACGCCTCAATCACATTCGCAATTTCAAACTCTAATAGATTCCTTTCAAACAAACTCAAGGCAAGTTCTAATCATTCAAGAATATGACCAATATCTCACAAGAAAGAAAGAGTAAGGATCAAAACCTCACAAGGTAAATAAATGTCACTCAAAGCAATCAAGCAATATCGAGGCAATGATCAACACAATCGTCATCACAACTTCCCAATTTCATCAAACATCCACCAACAAATCATATAATCCATCAATACCATGCTCAACAACACAAAAACCTAAACTAGCCCGGCCCACCATATAAGCATGCAAAAATCCGAATAACTCCCCCACACTTAAAATGAGGCAATGTCCTCATTGCTTCAACACGAAACAGGAAGTTAAATAAAGGACCTAGCACTCTCACATGATGAACCAAACTTAGCAACTACGACAGCAACGCAAGACTCAAAAGCAAAGACAGAGGAAAGAACAACTCAAAAAAGATAAAAAGAAAAGGAAAAAAGGGTGTGCAAACCGAAGATGCCTCGAGGAGATAAGCATCCACATACGAGCTACTCGTCCACGCTCCACTCTGGACCTCGATGTTCGTCCTGCTCAAGCTCGCTAACTCATTCATGCCAAGAAAAACACAGAAACTCCAAACTCCCATTATTCAAAGAATAAATCTAAAAAGCATAAAGAAATTATCTAGGAAAGCAATAAATCACTTGGGTTGCCTCCCAAGAAGCGCTTGTTTAAAGTCATTAGCTTGACGAAACCTGCGAGGAACTCAGCCAGGGTCCAAGAAGAAATGGCGATCATGCCACGCCTTCGTTCTTTCTAGAAGTGGCAGCATGGGAAGGGTGGCAAGAAGGCGGGCATGGTGGATCCGGGTGGCTATGTTCTGTATGAAGTGGTCTCGGGCACGAGCAATCCCCAATTCTAAACGCAGAGCTTTTCCCACGCGAGCTCTGTCGTCAACCTCCGGGACTATAAGGATATCTGTGGAGCAAGTCGAACTGAATTCTCCCCACTTCGTAACACAGTGCAACGGCCTCGAAGAAGGATGCTCCAATTCGAAGGTGGGAGGTGGGACTTGAGAATCAAGCCCATGGATCTCTTCTTCTGAAATATCATCCACGTCTGGCTGGAGCTCATCATCTTCTTCTTCGGCCTCACACATTTGTTTCATCGTACGGGCTTGAGTATCAAGCATGAAGTGGGGGTCGGCGACTTGTGCCTCGATTGAGTCGATGTGTGCTGTAAGAATCTCCGTTTGTGTGCCCAGTCGAGCACATCTGAGCTCAATCTCCACATCTCGAGTGGTCTGGGCAGATATGTGAGCAAGGATGAGGTCGAGCTTTTCATCGTATGTCAAAGCAGCCTCCCGAGGTTCATCTCTATGTATAGATTCGCCTTGAGCGGTGGGCTCGGGAGTGACATTGTTAACTCGATCCTCTAATGCTTGCACGCGCTCCACAAGGTTCTCAATTTTGGACTCAATATTGCTCCTACGGGCCGCTTGGGAGGCCAAAAGAGCGAGGGCCTGGTCGAGCTTGGCATTGTACTGTGATGAGTCCTCGAGGGACTCACATGACTGCTCAACAGGTATAGACTCCCATTGCTGCTCATAAGGATATGACCAAGTCTGGCCATAGTCCCAAAAATCGTGGTATGAAGGTGACTGATGCGGATGGGTACACCGGGTTGTGGTCTCTTCATCCTGAGCTAATTGGGATGACGCGAATTCATAGATACGGTCGAGCTTCTCGTTGAACTCGTGGGACTCATAAGCTTGCTCGACTGTGTAGGGATCCCAGTACTGCTCGGAAGAATATGAATATGATTGGTTGTGGTACCCGGTGTGATAGCTCGGCTCGTGACCCCAAGACTGGGTGTGCGGTGAGGGAAACACACGGTTGAAATTCATCATACCTGCACACCAAAACAGAACAACCACACGTAGCCACGAAAAGGAAGAAAAGGAATAAAAACTAAAACAAAAACAAAAAGAATAACAAAAATGCAAACAAAGGACACGAACACGAAAAACACAAAATAAAGAGAAACACAGAAAATAAAATCAACACCAGAACCAAATATCCTACTTGCCTTCCCCGGCAACGGCGCCAAATTTGTTGTAGCACAAATTGTTATTTTTACCGAGTATCGAATCAAATGATTCGTTCCCCGGGTCGATCTCTCGAGGAAGGCTGTTCGGATTTAGTTTTGGTATTGATTGCACAGAAAAAGAAAATAAATCCTACACACTCTAATCAGATAGGGGAGGAATATATTATCAACTAAGAAATTAACAGCAAACAAAAACGAACCTAAAGTACGAACTAGAAAGCGATAAAGAAGCTAGGGAATCGGAGATAATTTATTCAAGTTCTAAGCAAAATCGGGCAATCAATTGTTCGGTTCGGGATTGACACTCTCGCTTAGACATCTAGCGGTTCGCTCCCAATAACTCTTCGTAATAAGGGATTGAACATAGACGAGCTAGCTCAAGCATACAACACATGTCAATTATCCCAGTCTCAATAGCTTTTCGTAACAAGAGACGGGTCATCGGCAAGTGTGTATTTCAATCCAAAACCTATAGACTATTCAGTTACGAAATCATCTATCTCATGCGAGCCTAGGTCTACGACTTCTCCCCTTTCGGTTCTAAAAGTCGCTAATTCAATTAGAAGGTGTTTAATCAACTAATCATATAGAATCAACAACCCTAACTCGACAAATTAACATTCAATTGATACCAATTGCAAGATCGAAGTGTCACCCTTCGATTATATCAAGTTATCAAGCAAGAATTAATTAACCCTGATTAAAACAACTCGCACAAGCATGAACAATCTTGAGCCCGACAATAACGAAATTAATCAAGAATAATCATCCCTTATCCCTAGCAGAAGGAATTAGCTACGTATAACGAATTCAACAAACATAACCATTACTCTCAAATTAACCATTATTCATGAATTAATAAAGAGAGAAAAACTTACAATAAATCCAAATCTCAGTTGTTGAATCCAAAATACAAAGCTTAATCCTTGATAATAATAAAAAAGAAGAAGAAAAATGGAGAAGAAGGATGAAGAGAAGGGAAAAAATGACGAAGAAGAAGAAAAGGAGGAGAAAGGGATATTTCGTGTTTTTCCCGACCCTAGGTTTTCACCCAGGAGGGAGAGATAATCTTATGTCGAAATCCCGATCGAGTTTATATAGGAAAAGACGAGTCACGGCGTGGCGCGGCGCGAGGGAAACAGGTGCCGCGGCGTGTGGAAGGCTCGCGGCGCGCGGGATGCTGGGAGCCGCAGTCGGGGTCGTGGTAAGGGCGCGGCGTGGTGAAGGGGCGCTCCACGGCGCGGTAGGGCTTCGCGGCGCGGTGAAAGGGCGCTCCGCGGCGCGGCAGTGCTTCGCGGCGCGGTGGATGGGCGCTTCGCGCCGCGGCGAGCGCGCGGGACTTGGACAGCTCGCACTACTTCACATTTTGGAGTCGTTCGGGCTCGTCTGGTATCGGAATTGAGTTCCGTTTTTTCCTGTGTGTTCCCAACGAACTCCTCTATCTAATTACACTTGCCCAACTGACTTTTGCCCAAAATTCGATCTTCCCGAAGCTTTCGACCTACACACCATAAACGAAGAAAAACCGAAAAAACATACGGAAAACACGTAGAAAACCAAAATGGAGATAAACACACAATAAACTATAAGAACGAATAAAAACCAACGAAAAGACCTAAAATGGGGAAAAAAGAAAGATAAAATAATAAGGAAAAACGTAACAAAAATGGGACAAACAACTTGACCTCTGGGCTATGCATCATGACAGGAACATTGAATAGTTGTTCTTGAACTACTTGGCCTGGCTCCAAACTTTCCTGAACAGTAGCCAATGGTTCTGGGTTGCCTACTTGAATGACCTCCATTGATGGCTCGTAGGGCATCATTTCTTTATCATTGTTCCCTGTAGATGATCCCTCCCCTTGTTTAGCTACCTTAACTGCCATGTGCTGAGACGATATATTTTTAGGGACTGAACTTTGTGTTAGGCCAGGTGAATCCCTATTAGAAGCAGGGCTCTGATTCATAGCAGTTGTATCTCTAAAATGAGAGGAAGGTTGGTCTCCATCTAGCCCCGGGGATGAATTACTATTCCAACTAAGACCCTGCAACCCTTCCACGGCCTTCATCCATTCCCTATACTGACCCTCCTTCAACGATTGGTGCTCAACATCATATATTCTTATGCCACACCCTTTCTCAATGTGTCCCACCTTGCCACAGTAAAAGCACATACTGACTAGCCTCTCATATTTGAATGTGACTGTAACCAGTTGATTTCCCAGCCTTATGGATGCACATCTGGGTAGAGGCTCTGATATGTCCACTGTCACAAGAAATTTAATGAGTCGGCCTCCTTGAATACCATGATTTCCCACAACAACATTGGACACTGACTTAAACACTTTTCCAATTTTCAACCCAACATCTGTGGTTAACCAATCAAGGGGTATATGATGCACTTGGATCCAGAAGCGAAATTCATTGGAAACGGGATCATTATTGGTTAGCCCTGCCCTCCATTTCTTCAGAACCAAGTATTGATTATCCAGAATCCAGTTAATTCCCCCTGCCACTCTCTCCATGTCCTCCATATTTTCAAAAGTGAACTGAAAAAAAATTGGGGCTAAGTTCACGTACCTCAATAGAGCATTTCAGTTTCCAGATTAGCGTCATAGCCTTTTTAACTCCTGCAAGATTGGCCCGTTTATCTCCCACAATTTTGCCAAAAAGGCTTTTATGACATTCTTCCACTCCTGCTTTGACATCTTCAGTGCCAAGATCAATCACTTTAATTTCTTTTTCCGATAATGAGAATGCTCTGAGTCAGCTCACCACTTACTCCGCTGGAGTAGGTGTTGACTCGCCTTCCATCTAATCTTACTGTACCGATGTGAAACCCTAATTGAAGTCGAAACCCGTGAATTAGGCAAGTGAATTAGAGAAATGAGAACAGGTCCCTCCCTAAAGAGGAAGAAACTCTCCGTTGAGAAGAAAGGACTATCCGATGAGAATAAAAGACTCTCCGACGAGAGAAGGGGGCTCTCCGATGAGAGAATTCGGACTTGAAAGTTACTGCCTAAACATAACTTGAAATAAGTCATATTTATATTATAGTTTNAAATCTTGGGGATGGCTATGTAATGAGCAAAAATTATAATCAGTTGTAAGTTCAACCAACAAAATAGAAACCAAAACTTACAATATATTTTAAACTTTCGAGAGTTTAGTCTCACTGCCTTTCAGAACTCTTTCTACGAGCAAAATATAATTGATGTTCCTTATTGAAAATCCAATATCTGATATTTCCCCTGTTTTGATATCTGAAGCATACTTGAATCCATTCCCAAAAAATCCAATATGAAAACGTTAATTTCAAATTTGAACCAGTGTACAAACTGCAAACCATGTTTCCCCATGCAACTATGCAAGTAAAAGTGAACACTGTTTCAACTAATGTGAGGGACTCCATTATTTTGGCTCTTATACTTGATTTCATTTCATCCATGTTATCCAAAGATTTATATCCATTTATATCTCACGTAAACAAAATTGAACCAAAACATTGTATCAGTAGATAAAATATCACAAACATTTCCCTTTATTTGATATTTAAAGTGACGTTTCAGGTGGCCGACATAAAAGCATCAAATCGGGGCAAACGGATTTGGACATTTCATGCTTTTTGACTCGTAATTCACCAAATTCAACAAATTCAAACACATTATAGCTCACTAATTTATGGTTTAGCAGAGATTTTAAATGAAGCTTAATTAAAGGGCATTGTTCCTTCTATCCAACATTTTGCCCCCAAAGCAAGCAAAAATTAAATTGACCAGAGAAAATCGGTGCAACACGATTTCATAAGCAATCATATAGTTTTGGACAAGAAGCACTTTCTATGATAATGAATGAAAGGTGTTAATCAAGTTTCACTTCAGGAGAAACAATTCGTCCAATTAAATAAAACATCGGTGAGTCGCGACGAATATAAACTAGTTGCATAATCCATAACATGAATCAACAACACACAAGGAATCCACGAGGTTGACTAATCAAGAAAAAAAATATAACATAAATGGTGCAATAGGGACCATCAAGCAGAATCCCTTAATCAAGCACCACCACTGTACAGAAGTACCTCACGGTGTATACGAGCATTCAATCTAAGGGCACAGAAGGAAACTTCAATAAAGTACAATATAATATGATCCCACCATCATAAGATGCTTATTATAACATCTACTCAAGATTTAAAAATTCGAGTTTCCCACCTTTTTTTTTTCCAGGCCATGTATTAAAGATGGAGCGAAGGCAAGGCCATCATGGCCGAAAAAATCGAAACGAGCAATAAGAGCAGCCATGTAGGGATGGATCTCCTCAGTTGCTGGGGTTGATTGTTATTCAACTCTTTCGGGAGTTGGTCGTTTACTGGCTCCTCAGTGGGCCCACGTCTAGTCAGAGTGGAGTTCTTGTCCTGGGCGGATTGTTTTCTGCCTGATTTGCAGGTTGCTCGTCTGCTAGCTGCTCTTCATATTTCTCTACGTATTCGGGAAATAGTTTCCGAAAGGTTGCACTATTTCGGGGAAAGGAAAAGAACATTAAACAAAAAAAAGGAACTCTAAATGCTTGGATATAAGATTCTTTTGTTTTGTTTGGATTTATTGGTTTTGTTTGGTTAATTTTGAAAAATGTGGTATGGTTATTGTTAGTGGGATTTTGAGTTGATATTAAAATAATATTTGAAATAAATAATTAAAGTTGAGTTGATGTAAAAGTAGAAGAGAGATAATGTGAAGTGATGTTCAATTAGAATTATGTGAGTATTATGTGAGTGGATGAATACTTGAATAGTGAATTAAATTTGATGTGATGCGTAAGAATGATTAATTGGTACTCCCTTCTATTTTTAATAAGTGTCGTTTTGAGAAGTTGCACAATAATTAAGAATATTTTGTTTTGCCAATAATAACCCTCATTAATGAAGATAGAGATGTTTTGAGAAAAGATGAAGAGTGAATATGAAAAAGACGTAGAGTAATTATTAGCTAAATGGAGGTAATAATGGAAAATATGTACAAAAGATCCAAAACGTCATTTATTTGGTTAATGGTTGATAAAGCTAAAATGATATTTAAAAAAAATAGGAGGTAGTATTATTTAGTAATATTGATAATGTTGATAATATACATTACACCATAAAATAATTGTTCAAATTCCACGTAGTGTATGTTTGAGCTATGAAACTTCACCGAAACCAGTAAGTTACAAACCATGTGAAAATCTACTCTTGCGAAGATCATGTATAGATTCGGTTTAGGAACTTACTTTTTACAATTAAAAGCCAGAGAAGCCTTTGCAAGCATCCGTTTTTCTTCATCAGTAATTGAGACGCTGCCTGTGGTGGGACTATTGTCCAGCTGTAACACAACACGCCAGACCATTGGGTTGTTAATATTTAAGTTTTTCATAAAAACTTTACGCTATATTTTGGAATGGGGAAACTATGTCCAATAGGCATATGAAGTAGTCGGATGCCAAATGGAAAGAAAAAATTCAGAAAAAAAAAAAAAAAAAATTATCTTCTAAAATTTAGCAAGACACTCACCATGAATGAAAGGAGCCCAGTTAATGCTGCACCGTAACAGAGAATCAGCATATACAACTTAGATTGATAATAATAATAATGAGAGAAGAAACAAATTTTTCCCAATCAGAACACCCCTTACCTTGAGACGCCCCACATAGGGTTCCAACTCTCAGGATGAACTGGAAATGAGATCACATGAGTAGCGTGGCAAGTTGAAATCAGCCAATACAAAATATAGAGAACATGTAAAACCATCTGACTTACAATCACTCATAGACAGACATATCTTCTATTGTGTCATAAAGCGTCCATTTGGAGTCGTCATACTATGAAAGGATACAAAACAAGAGTTTTGAGTAAGTATGTCGCAATCCCAAAACAATAAATCCCCTGTTAGCTTTAAATGTCACTTTAGACGAAATTGAAGATACCTGATTCCTGGAGGTTTGAAAGGGTATTCTGGAGGAAACTTTATCTTTCCATAGTAATATCCACCTGCAGTGGTAAAAAAAGTAAAATGAAATGAGAATGAGAATAATATTCAGTAAATTTGGAAACAAATCAAGAGGGTAAACCCAACGTTGTCAAGGTGAAACACAATTTAGTGAGAAAGAAAAATGATTGTACCTGCAAAAGCAGTTCCTTGACTTCCCTCCAACACATAATCTGAACAGAAATAACGTAAAGGATGGTACTATTAGCAGATGAAGAAACAATCATTTGCTCTTACTTAAAATGTCACTATCATCAGTCAACAGGGTTCAGCATTAGAAGTCTCCAGAAATTTAATTTCATAGGTTACACCTATTTAACTTCTTCATTGGAAGTGATAGATCCAAGGTGTAAGAATGTACATTTGCGACCCAACTAGACAGCAGAAAGTACGGCATTTGTTCTTATATAAATCAATCAATACAATATCCAGATGTACATATCTCCATATTACATTGGTTATCGGAACACAAAGGGAAAACAATTTGATTGCATCAAGCAAAGGAAAATGCCGTAAAACAAATTAATTATTTGAAAAAGAGGAACTTACGCCAATCAAGAATGTCGTTCGGCAGAGGGCGTGCGACCACATTGGAAACTGGTTCCTAAATTTAATAAAAAAAAAAAAGAGATAACCAGTAAAAATACACGTGCAGGATTGCACAGATCCACATTAAAACAACTGCAGAAAAAGTAGTTTAAAGAATCCAGTATGACCTTATTATGGCTCAATGTTTAAGGAAATATTAACCCCATTCAAGAAATTTCATAAATTAGAGCATCCTTTAATAATGAAATGTTCAAACAATAAAAAATGTGGAATCAAATGAGAAAATAATACCTATCCTTGATAGAAAGATATTCCAATACTTTAATTAAAATTGCCAATGAGCTCTACCAGAAAAAATAAGAATCAATATTATACATCGTCTTTCTACAGATTCAGAACTAAACTAAAAGGCAACTTACTTACATAGTGCTCGATACTCCTTCTGGAGGCACTTCACACAAGCTTTTTCAGCCATTTCTTTTTTGGTATACCAACAATCGGAAAGGAAGACTTCTCTTACCCACTAACTCAAATACAATGTTCCCTGCAACAAAAAGTCAACACGAAACTCTACGCACGAGATACACAATCACTTTCACGATATTTAATCTTTTCTTGTAACGAAGATTACAAACTAGGCACATTGGAGAGTGCATCATGCACTCCTTAGTGGGTTGAAGCATTTGATTATCAAATCACATCTGCAACTACGCCATTACTCATTTGTTTTTAAGATTTCAAATTAAGTTTAACCTTCCTAACTGCCACTGCATAATAGTAAAATAATCATGATATTATTGTCACCCATAAAAAGTTTATATGCCTTCAAAAGTGCAATACAATTCACTTTCGAATATCTAATAAATCATAAAAGAACCACTCATCCCTCATCCGGATCAGTATTCCTGGAGCTAATTATTACGTATACTACAATATTGCTACATAACTACACGTATACGCATAAAAACTACATCTCCACCTGAGCATTAACATTTCTCTTTATCCCAAGAAATAACCAGGTAACATTAACAATGGGTGAACATCCAACATAATTGCTTATACTAAACGAAATTCGACATCTCGTGCTGCACAAATTCCCACAACCCTCAAGTCTCCCTCAATTTAGAAATACTATCAATAATCCTCCCAAAAATCTACTAAATCTCCTCCCATTCTCCACCTGAGCATTAACATTTCTTGCAATACAAAGAAACATTCAACTAACAAATGGTGAATATCCAACAAAATTGCTTAGTTACAACGAAAATTCAACATCTTGCGCTGCAAAATCTTCCGCAACACCTAATTTCCCCAAATTTGAAATACTACAATAACACACCTAAAAATCTACTACATTCTTCTCCCATTTCCTTCTAACACCATATCATTCTAACACCAAGAAGTGTCCAATCGAAGAGGAACTCTCAATTAAAAACAGCTCATTCGGAAAATCAGTGATCTGCCCACATAATTACCAACAGAACTTGAACAAAAATACCACAAATCTATAAACATAATCTCTAAAACATACCAGAGGCCGAGGCAGCCAAATCAAACGAGCTGCTGAGCAAGAAAATCACCAGATCAACCCTAAATTCGACGGAGCTTGAATGTAGGAGGATATGAAATCGCAAGATTTAAGGATTTTCCAAATGATCCGAGATGATGCGCAAGCGTTGTGATTTGTGAAAGCAGACACCTTTTGGGGGGTCAGATTGCAAAGGTGTCTGCTTCCCATGGCGACTACAATCGGTGGACCGTGCTCATGGGCGTTGGCAACAAAGCGTAAGGTATTAAACAGGTAACCTCAAGAAATCAGTTCAAAGACAAAATTAGAGGAAGTTTTTTAGTACCCAATTATTTTACACAGATGAAAATGTACAACTAAGCAGCAACAATCTTCTGCTTGAAATATTAACAATGACGGAGGTGTATTGGGCCCAGGGGGTCCATGGGTCCCCCTCATTTTTTTTTTAAATCAATATATATATTATATAAAAAAGAAAATACAATAAAATATGTATAAAAATGTAAAAAAAAAATATTTACAATATATTAATAATTAAAACTTATTTTTATGTTAACTTAATTTAAATTATAATATTATTTAGTTATTAAAAAATGTAATAACAATCCTTATATTTTACATTTCTAGATAAGTTTTTGAAAATATTTATAAAGATTTTTGGTCTCTTAATTATAAATCGATTTAGTAATTTATAAAACTCAATATATAGTTGGATTGTTACATTTTTTTAAGTTGGTTTTCTACTTTTTTTTTCTGTGTAATTACATATTTTAAATTAAGCTATTTTCTTCTTAAAACAATGTTTATTTGATAAGTTTTTATCAACAAAAATGCTATGCAATGTGCTGCAAAAGTTCAATTTCATTTAATTTTTAACAAAAAAACTTATTTTTCCATAAACTATAGATGTTGAACTTAAATTATAAATACATAAAATCTCATATATTTTTTTTTGTTTATAATTTTTTTTAAAAGTTTGAGGGTGATACGGATTCTAAGTTTTTAAAAACTTGATGGTACACATATCAATATCAATATATATATATGTTTATAGTAAATACATTTTTACATGAAATGAGTGTTTGAACTTAAACTACAAACTCTTTATAACATTTAAAATCGGACCCCTGAGTAAAATTTCTAAATCCGTCACTGAATATTAAGCCCTCGACTCCGATCACCTACACATAACAAATTATGTGTAATCTTCAGATTAGGCACGACAATCACCCGAACTTTAAAGAAATGCCTGAGTATAATACAGAACAGAATCTACTGTCAAAACAAAATTAGAAAACCAATATATGATCTTCATAATTGGGGTCAGAAATTGGTAAAATTCTCGAAAAAACAAGCAGCCCATGAAAAAACCAATGCAAAATCGAATCTAGAACAAGAATATACAAAATTATAGTGTAATTGAGATACAAAATTAGTAAATAGGACAAAGAACAAACAGCTTTGCATTGATGTTCTTGTGGACACCATTAACCAAATTCAGGTACAAAATCGTCGAATGAATCTGGCGAGTGTAGACTTGCAGTTCAATTGACGCAAAAGAAATGCTTAAGGGTATGTGCATGAGTTGAAGCGAAGAAAAATGAGATTAATCGATTGGGTAGTGTTTGTGAAGTGCGGAAGGTATTACCTGCTCCCCGTCTCCATCTCTGACCTCTTGAAGTTCTGCTTTCGCCGAAAGAATAAAAGCTGGCATACGTCGTTTCTTACACTAAAAAAAAAGTTGGAAAAAATAAGGGCATGCTGGAGTAGAGACGAATTTGAAGTAAAATTGAAGGAGGAAAAAAATGATAGAAAATGGATGCTTACACATCATCTCGAACCAAGCCCTAACCGTCTTCTCTGACGGACGCCGCGTTCTCGGATCTAAAGCCCGGCATTGACTTTATTGTCCTGCTCCAATTCATACCAATTCGTAAAACAGAAAAATAAACATCAGAAAATACCCTTTTGGGTTGTTCTCAAACACGTTATACCTTAACAATCTAGCATAACATTTACTTAGTACCAAAAACTTCATTATTTTTCTACCTGAACAGAGTTAGAAGGGCTCAATAAGACAAATTGTTATGATACAGATTTCCTAGAAAATGCGAGTTTGAACATATATTATAATTAGAAACAGAAAAGCATATATATTTTTTCAAACAAAAAAAAAAAAGAAAGAAAGAAACTCTGCATTTATCCTGTGAACTTTTGTTAAGGTTAAAAAAAAAAATAAAAAAACTCTCCATGAGCTCACATCTAGAAGACCAAGGACAATAAGCAGAGTTTCTGGCAGTAAAATGTAACGTGTCAACTTATTTCAACAATGAGTTTAGAAACCACCTCATAAAGACGCTTTTGTGAAGCACATTCAGTCCAATTTAGGAATAAACAAGAAAAATTGATCATATTGCAACTTACCCTTTCCTTTTTGCAGGACCAAAGGGGCTCTAGCACAATGATTTCTGCCGTTCGGCGCCCTTTTGCAGGCTTCGGGGTTTGGGGCATCTGAAAATGAAAAACAAGCCGACTGCCATATGCCTGAAGCCGCCGGTAAAAGAAAAAGAACTGAGAGCTATATTTTCAGATATTCTGCCACACGACTAACCCAAGTTTTTTTAAAAAAAAAAAAAACAATGTATGCTTACAGAGAGAAAGAGAGAGTATTTACCTGCCAAATTTCTTGATCCTAGTGCTCTTCAAGTGGGTCAAGATTTCCTTTGATAGTTCCGTCAAATAGTGCTGGATTTGAGGAATGATACTCAACCGATTGCGGAGGTCATGCAGACCGATTGTTCCAATATCGATGTTGTCTATAAACAATTGTGAATCACCAATGGTATTTTATCATACTGTTAGTCAACCATACTCTTTCAGTCATGTATATAGTTTCAAACTCAAATGTTGTACATCAATTATAAATATAGACAAAATATGACATTTAATAGTATAATATGCATTTTAAAAAAATAGGAAGCTGACATCGAATATATATAATGGGAAATGAACAATTACTTGGCATAAAGTTGTGCTATTGGCCCATACACACAATAATTGGATATTAACTTGCAGAAAATGTATTCTCAATTTTATTATTTAATAAACTTTTGCTGACTAAATCAATCCTGCAAGAAGGGATTGAGACCAACAGACACAGAATATTTAGCTAATCTCCAAGAAAATATATAATTTTAATTATGGTAATAGTATTAATACTTAGATGGACTTGCACAATAAAAAAAATTGAAAAAAAAAATATATGAAGAAATTCGAAGTGTACTCACTTCAATGCCCAATATGAATCCATCTTGATCCCAATTAAACACCCTGATAGCTCCTTTGACCTCATCTGCCACGTTTTCCTGTTAATCCATCATTTTTTTTTTTCAATTATGTGAAATTTTTTCACATAAATATCTATGTATGTATATATTAAATTGACTAAACTAAAGATAGAATAATATTTAAATTCAACTTAACTTTTTTTAGTTTAGTTTCCTTAGTTACCTTTGTTTTTCTTGTCATGACACTCAAAAACTCATCAAAATCCACTGTACCATCTCCATCAGTATCAGCCTCATTCAACATTTCTTGAATTTCTTCCCTTGTTGAATGTTCGTTCATGTTTGGATGGTTGATGCAAGTTCTTCCATAGTGATAAATCCTTCCAAAAGAGAACAAAAAAAATTGTCATTATTAATTAGAATAATAACTAAGCTAATTAATCTCATAATTTCAAGAAAATTAAACCTATGAGAGAGCAGTTATAGGAAAACTAACAATGTTACAATTATTTGTTCTTTTGTTACAATTATAGGAAAAATTCACCATCCTAATCTTCATCAATTAGGGCAACTCATTTTTTTTCTAAATAATATTTAAATTAATCTTATAATTTGAAAATATATGCATATATAGAGATGAAAACTATCATATGTATTTGTGTCTCTAGAAATAAGGGAGAAAACTATTTGAAGGCAAGATAATGACTACATTGGAGACGCCTGCTGCGACCACTTCTCAAACGCCGTCGCCGGCTGATCTTCGGCGCGTGCCTCTTCATCTCGCCGCCGATATTTGGTACATCGCTTGCCGGAGGCGTCGGAGGTGGACGGGCACGTGCGACGGGGTCTACAACGAGGATTCGGGGGACGGCGTCAGGGTTAAGGCAGGGTTGAGATACCACCTTCGTAAGTCCGAGCCGTCGCGCCGCCAAGTGCTGCCGCTCACGCGTGGATCTTGGTCGTCGTCACAGATTTTGAAGGGTTCAATTTGGAATGAAATTGGGCGAGGGTTTGAGAAGGGGCATTTGTATTTCAATATAGAGAGAAATCGCATAAAAAGGAAACAAATGATGTTTTGTTTTAGATACGACTAGAGTGCCTTCGGCTGCGCACAGCCCAAAGACTTTTTAAGATATATGAAATCTAGGTGTATTTAAATGAGACTATTTAAAATTTTAAAAAATTTAGAGGTATTCAATTAGGATTTTTAATGATTTTTTAAAAATTTCTTAAAATTCATAGGTATTCAGTTTAGACTTTTTAAAGTCTCATAGAATCAAGAGGTATTTATTTCCTTTTCAATTCTTTTGGATTTGTCATTTATTTGGATTTAGAGAGATTTAAGTGAGAAAGTATATATACCAAATCTCATTACAAATCTCTGCTAAATTCATAAGAGAGAACATGACGATGGAAGAAAGAAAGTTTTCTGTGTATTTCGTAGAGTTTACAGAGAATATATAAAGATTACAAGAGAGAAAATCAAATCGAGCTAAGATCATATCAAATCAAATATCTAGATATAAAGATAACTATGGGAATATCTTCCATATATATTTATCCGTTACACCCCCCCTAAAGTTGGTGCATGAAGATTCCGAAGGCCCAACTTGTTGAGAAAGTTCGTGAATTCTTGTTCACCTAAGGCCTTAGTAAAAATATCTGACAGCTGAGCCGTGGAGGAAACATAACGAGGAGCAATAAGGCCCTTCAATAGTGCGTCACGAACAAAGTGGCAGTCAATCTCAATGTGTTTAGTGCGTTCATGGAACACGGGATTGGAGGCAATATGCAAAGCTGCCTTACTGTCACGATGGAGAGAGATTGGATACTAATGATCAACACCAAAACATCCCAGAAGGGATTTCAACCAAGTCAGCTCACAAGTGGTAGAAGCCATGGAGCGATATTCTGCTTCGGCGGAAGAGCGAGAGACAGTAGATTGTTTCTTTGTCTTCAACGAGATGGGCGAGGATCCGAGTTGGATGATCGAACCGGTGAGAGAGCGACTCGTAAGTGGGCATCCCGCCCAATCAGAGTCACACTAAGCAGTAAGACGTAAATCAGAATCAGCGGGGAAGAAAATGCCCTGACCAGGACGACCTTTCAAATAGCGCACAACACGAAGAGCAGCATCCCAATGATCCTGGAGAGGATTGTGCATAAACTGAGACAAAACATGGATGGAATAAGACAAGTCTGGTCGGGTGACAGCAAGATAAATAAGCCTTCCGACCAAACGCCGGTAATTTTGTGGATCCGATAGTGGAGGACCAGTGACAAGCGGAAGCTGATGATTTTGCTCCAATGGAAAGGAGGTCGGCTTAGCCCCGAGAAAACCAACCTCGGCCATTATGTCAAGAGTATACTTCCTCTGGCACAAGAAAATGCCAGAGGAATTGCGAGCGACTTCCAATCCCAGGAAGTATTTCAAAATGCCGAGATCCTTCATATGAAAGCAATGACTTAAATAAGCCTTAAAGGAAGAAATAGCCCCACTATCATTCCCGGATATGATCAGATCATCAACATAAACGAGAACGTGCAGTTGAACACCATCGCGGCACAAGGTAAAAAGAGAATAATCGGCATAAGATTGACGAAAGCCATATTGGCGAAGTGCCGTAGTGAGTTTCGCAAACCAGCACCGAGGAGCCTGCTTAAGGCCATATAGGGACCGCTTCAAGCGACAAACAAGATTAGAAGACTTAGACCGGAAACCAGAAGGCAATTTCATGTACACCTCTTCATCAAGATCACCGTGCAGAAATGCATTGTGAACATCCATCTGATGTAATTCCCATTGTCGGGCAGCAGCAATAGCCAAAAAAATTCGAACAGTCACCATTTTGGTGACGGGAGCAAAGGTCTCGGTATAATCAACGCCCTCGACCCGTTTATTCCCAAGGATAACCAAACGAGCTTTGTATCGTTCAATGGACCCGCCAGATCGATGTTTGATACGGTACACCCATTTACATCCAATAGCATTTTTACCAGGACGAAGCGGAACCAGATTCCAAGTGTGATTGTGCTCAAGAGCCTCAATTTCAGACTGCATGGCAGAACGCCAATTAGAATCAGCCAAGGCCTCGGTAAAGGTCCGCGGCTCGACAGAGGCCTCTATAGCTGCCAAGAAAGTCTTATGTGCAGATGAGAAAGCAGTACTATCAACAAAATGAGCTAAGGGATATGGACGATGAAGTGGTTGAGGAGTGAACTGGGGGGGAAATAATAGTGTTGGTGACATGATCGCTCAGTCTGACGGAAGGAAACTTCGTCCGGCGGCCTCAACCCAAGAGCTCATTGGACACCATAGAGTCAGAACCCCCCCTGAATATAGTAGTCCCAGAAGGAGATGAGGATGTGGGATCGAGAGAGGCCTGAAGACGCGTCATCAATAACAGGCCATGGTGTAGAATAAAGAAGTGGGACAGAGTTAGTCTCGGAGTCAGGTGGCGTAGAAAACGGGAATTGATCCTCACAGAATTTAACATCTCTAGAGACCAAAAACTGTCGAGTGTCAAGATCAAAAACAGACCAGCCCTTCTTCCCAAAGGGATAGCCTACAAAGATACACTTCTTGCTACGACTAGCAAATTTATCCCCCGAATGATCCAAATTATGAACATAGCACAAGCAGCCAAAAACACGAAGATGTGTAAGAGAAGGCAATTTTCCAAAAAGAACTTCATAGGGACTTTTCCCACGTAGGACTTCAGTGGGAGTACGGTTTATTAAATATCCGGCAGTCAAGACACAATGTCCCCAAAATTCAATGGGCAAGTTAGCCTGAAAACGCAGAGCACGTGCCACGTTAAGGATGTGGCGATGCTTGCGTTCCACTCGACCATTCTGCTGGGGGGTTATAACACAAGATGTCTCGTGTAAAATACCGTTTTCCCGAAATTATGAGGTGAGACACATAAACTCAGTCCCATTATCGCTTCAAACAACTTTTACCAATCTATGAAATTGTCGTTGCACCATGGCAAAAAAACCAATTAAAGTATCAAAAACACACCTTTTATCATTCAACAAATAAAGCCACACAGCTCGAGAAAAATCATCAACGATTGTCAAAAAATATCTAGCTCCAGAAAACGAGGGGACTCGATAGGGACCCCATAAATCACAATGAATCAAAGCAAAAGGTTTCAAACTGGTACTTGCACTCAAAGGAAAGGAGTCTCTAGTATGCTTAGCACGATAACAGATATCGCAAGCTTTATTGTCAAAACTACTAATATGACTAGAAGAAAAATTACAAAGCTTCCCAATAACCTGTGGAGGTGGGTGTCCCAATCGTTGATGCCACAAGTCCATAGATCCGCCAACAGATACACTAGCCGTCACAGTCTTCATCGGATCACGAAAAAAATATAACCCCCCCTTTTGTTCACCCTGACCAATCACCGTCCTCGTAGTAAGGTTCTATATGAGACAATCAACATTAGTGAAGTGGGCTGTACACCCATGATCGACTAACAAATGATATAATGAAATGAGACTGCATTTAAGACTAGGAACAAATAGGACATTTAACAAGATCAAATTTTGACTAAGGCGAACTTTGCCGGCTTTAGTCGCAACAGTCAATTGTCCATCAGGAAGTTGCACTGGTCGCGGGGAAATATCACAAATATCAACGAGATACTAAAAAAATCCAGTCATATGTTGTGTAGCACCACAATCATACATCCAACTACGAGAATAATCCTTACCAGTTAAATGATTATAAGTGGTAGTATCAGAATTATTAGGGCGCACGAGATTAACTAGCGCCTGCCATTGATCCAGACTCAAACCTGTAGATGTCGGCACAGAATTAGCCCCATAAGAGCCGAACTGAATAGGAGAATCAGCAAGGCCAGGCCCAACATGACCAGGCCCAATAGAATTTCTCCCAATAATATTGGCAGCGTGGGCTTTGGCAGAAATTGAAGGAATAAGTCGTCGGTCATTTCCAGCGGAAGATGAAGAGGCGCCGTTCGATTGACCTAGTCCCGCCGGAGACACGCCGGTAGAAGGAGCCGCTGGAGACTTGCCGGAACGACATGCAGGGTAGCCGACAACTTCAGAGCAACGACGCGGATCGTGACCCGTTCGATTGCAATGGGGGAGATTTTTACGCGAAAACAAACTGTGGCGTCGTGTCCAGATCGACCACAGATATTGCACTGGCGAGAAGATCGGGAAGACGATTGGCGTGCTGCAGTGGTAGCGAAGCTCATCACGTCAGTTGTCGGAGCGGATGGAGAGGAAAGTCGTTCCTCCTGTGAGATGACGGAATAAACCCGTTCCAAAGAAGGTAAGGGATCTTGGGCCAAAAGACCAGAGCGGGCCGACCCATATACCTCCTTATCCAGGCCCAATAAGAATTGGTGAGTTTCTTCTGCGTCTCGACGGGCCTCGAATTCACGAGCATGTCCACAGGTACAAGCAATTGGTGGTTGATACGAGTTTAATTCATCGAATAACGTGCGCAGCTTGCCATAGTATGCACTAACAGTCATACCTTTTTGTAGTGTAGAAGCTAATTCGCCTTTCAATTGCTGAATTCTAGTGCCGCTAACAACAGAGAAACGACGACGAAGATGATCCCATAGTTCTTTGGCGAGTTCTATTTGAGGAATGGAGGGTCAAAGTGTCGGATCGATCGTATTCTTTATCCATGAGACCAACATCGAGTTATTGACGAACCAATCTTCGAGGATCGGAGAATCGTCCACAGGTGTGGGAATAGAACCATCAAGAAAACCAAACTTTTTGCGTGCCCGGAGAGCCGTCCGGAGTGAAGAGGACCATTCAATATAATTTTGCCCTTTGAGGAGGACCGTAGAAATCAAACATCCGGGATTATCACTCGACGTGATATCGTAAGGTGAGATAGTTTTATAATTTGAATGAGATCCAGTGCCGGATGTCATGATGAAAGAAAAGAATATGATGATGGTGGAGAAAAGAAAAAAAAAATTAGGTATGATGTCGATGGCGAAATTCACCTCT